CTACTTAAAAAGGTAGGTCATTCCATTTTCTCACACCTAATATTACAACTTAAGCAATTAAGGAAAAAAAATTATTTGTGTCGACTCATTAATACAGGAAAAATTTAGGTCTAACTTGGGGATTTATAACAGAATTTATAACAAGACAGGAATTATCACAAATTAGTCGGTAGTCGTTTGACACATGGCACGCAAACAAAATCTCAGACAAAAACCGAAAAAAAAAACTTAATTAAAATCCTTCAGAAGTCGCGTTAAAAAACGAACGAGGATAATGGGAAATACTCCAAAAATTTCCCCGAAGAAAAATGTCTGAAGTCAACACTGTATAGGAATTCCCTAATTCAAATTTGCCTGGACCTCAGGAAGCTATAACGCGAAACTACTACTCAATCACTAAAAATAGGCTTACCATTAGTCTAATTAAGATTGTAGTAAGGAATATTTATAGTTAACACAATAAATGTAATATTTATAGTTAACGTAATAAATATTTCCTTATAAATTTATATCTATTTCCAATAAACTTATATCGTTTAAACAGTTCGTTTAAACCGTTTAGCTACTCTAAGTCTTACATCCCCCCAAAAATATCTCGCATTCCTAGGGCTGCTTGCACTTCAGGTTAAGAACCAGTAAAGTGGCTTGAACACAATTTAAGACATGCATCCTCCCTATTTTTCTAGTCTCTTGCACCATACATATACATTGCACCACTCAATGGAAAAGGGGAAAGAGGACGCCTAAGACTCCAATCTTTCCAACAAATAAGCAGACCACTTGGCAAAACCACAGACCCCAAAGTAACTCGCCCAAGACAATGAACGTTACAGAAATTGTGTTAACAATTCTGTAAATAGTAAATATAATCCTTTTTGAACAATTTGATTTTATATTTAAACACTTCTTGGCAAATAATTGTGATGATGATGATGATGAGAGTAGACAAGATCGTTTATTCATAAGGCTAGCTGGGCTCCAGCCTAGACTCGCTGAAACATAGGCCCGTCAATTTTAAAATGAAAAAGAAAACTACAAACAGTCTAGAATTATTCAGGAAGATCTCAAAATGGATAAAGAGTTATATACTGCGGCTAGTATCTACCGTACCAGCCAGGCTGTCAGCTATACGTATAACTTGTAAGATGGAAGATTGGATTGCCGGAGGAGGCTCAAAATATGTAAAAGCCTAGAGGCCCAGTCGTGGATTAATACTGTTCTGAGAGTAGATGAATTTGATCTACAATTGCTTGAGAGAACAGATTACTTAGAAAACATTATTGATTACTTTTTGAATGAGAAATGGAAATTTCAGTAGATAGAATATACTGTTTACGATAACGGACTAAAGATATTTCATGAAATATAAAAATATAATAGGCACTAAAAGTTTCCATTTTCGTTACTCATTTTATACAGTTTATTAATATGATATTTTATTAACTATAAAATTAAATAAGCCTGAAAACAGAATTATAAGCTGTGACTTTTTCACTTCTATTTAAATATCACAATACCAATTGAAAAGAAGAATTAGCCGACAAAATATAAAGACTAATGTACAGTACCATCAATCTCATGTCCTATATTTCCAAGCTAACGATCGGGATATTTAATGGAAGACGACATAATCGAACTGAGCAAATGTCAGAAATGATCAATTTTGATTCAGAAAAACAGAAAAACTCAAAATGCAATTAGAATTATGGAAAACATTTATGACAGAAGGCTGCAATCTCTTCCTCACAATTCGCAATGTAGTACAGTGCAGTGCAAACAGACCTAGACTTAAAATTGTTATGACTCTAAGTTATAACATATAATAAGCCTATCCCCTCCATTAAATAAAGATACATATAAAAATATAAGCTCCAAGTTATAGACTCAGTAGGAGGCTCTAAGCTGCAAGCATTTTAGCTTATGCCAATTCAGTCCTGGGGAAAGATTGATTAAAGAAAAAAGAAGTATTAGTGATATCTTTCTGAATACAAAGAGTTAAAATACGAAGGAAAACAATACAAATTAGATTCACTGACGATAATACTAATATGTAAACAATTAGTAAGGATTTCAATATATTTGTATTTTTCTCTTTCAAGTTAATCATTGCAAAAGCAGGAGAAATGTGACAATCGAGAAAAAAATAAAAAAAATAAAACTAGGAAATTAAAATTTCTATAGGAACTGAATGGACAAATAAAACCAATAAAGGTATACTGGAAAAAATAAACGAAGAAAGAAACTTATTTGAAATTATTGTATTGTATGAAAGTATAACAACTAAGTTTTCATTAAGAAATGAGAGATTAATAAAAAATATCCTGAAGAATAAAATTAAAATAACACGATCAAAATACAGAAAAGACTATTCTTAGTGAATAATGAAAATATTTATCAAAATTTAAAAGAAAATACTAATAATATGAATAATTAGGCTAAGAATCGTGTCTACATCTATAACAATTGAATGGTTACTCCAATTCCCTTAAAACATGAAGTACTAATATATCTTACAAAACATTAAGTTCATTATACTCATTTTATTATCTACTTATCTACTGTACAGTAAATTCATTTAAAAAATTACATATTGTAAAAAATAAATTTTAAGCAATATTGAAAATAAAATATTTCTTATTGACAGTATTTCTATTAAATTTTATAATGTAAATTAATGACATTAAATACGTTATAGGAACGCGTATCATGTTCATAAAATTAAGCTTATATAGACTATATAGTTGATGTATAATATATTATACATGTTACAACTATGTAGACCTATATGCTGTATATGTAAGCTATGTACTGTACAGCTATGTATACAATATAAGCTATATACAGTATACTATAAATCAAAACAAATGTAATCGAATTTTATTTCTCGTAAAAACTAATTATTTAAAAAAAATTAAAAATCTGTAATGCAAGTAAATTATTTTTGCTACAAATAAACTTAATCGAGTGTAATGCAGTAGATCATTTAGGCTACAGCAAACTGATTGGCTGTTAAATAAAAGCGTGTTAATTAATTTACGTTGCATAAATGTTATAAAAATATATATATAACGAGCCAGCCGTACGAATTTTCAACATTAAAAATGTCCAAATATCCGCGAGATTAATGAAACAATTTAACACTTCCATAATTGTATAACTGCAGTATGGGCCTTTAATAATATAAACACATCGCCATGTGTTAAATCATTTTCTGCCAATAATTAAACGTTTCTTCAGAGATTTTTAATTATTAATTAAATCGAAAAATCTAGTTAAGCAGACGGAATGGGAAAAAATATAATTTTTTTAAACTCACCAGTATTTTTCACAAAAATATTTTTCAATTTTGATGGAACTTCCGGAAGTCACACAATTGATCTTATTGTTGGTCGACATGACGTTAGTTGTCATGACAACAAACAAAAGTATCATTTCAATCGTAAAGGATACATATATATTTTTTATCTAAACCTATATGCTAAATTATTATGCATTACTTTAATAATAAAATCAAATATG